TCCTGACCCTACTTGCTTTTCTGTGGCTAATAAAGATCTTAAATGGAGGGCTGATATGCCTGAAGAATGTAATGCACTTATGCTAATAAAGCGTGAGAATTAGTGCCATTTACTTCTGGTAAAAAAGTGGTTGGATCTAAATGGATTTATAAAGCTAAATAACGATCTGATGGATCTATTGAACGACATAAAGCACGTCTGGTTGTTCAAGGGTTTAAGCAGCAGGTTGGGGTTGATATTTCTGAAACATTTAGTCCTGTTGTTAAACCCAACACTGTCTGTATTGTTCTTACCTTAGTTGTTTCTTATGGTTGGCCCATGCGTCAACTAGATGTTAAAAATGCATTTCTTCATGGTCATTTAACAGATGAGGTCTATATGCGTCAACCACCCGGGTTTATTCATCCACAATTCCCTCATCATATTTGTCGCTTGCGCAAGGCCATTTATGGACTTAAACAAGCTCCCCGGGCTTGATTTTATCGTTTTAGTAGTTTCCTATTAACTCATGGTTTTTTTGAAGTCGTGCTGATAATTCTCTGTTTATTTTCCGACATGACAATCGCATTATTTATCTGCTGTTATGTGTGGATGACATCATTGTTACTGGAAATTCCTCCTCTTTCATTCGTAAGTTTATTTCTCTTTTAGGGAATTATTTTGCAATGAAAGATCTTGGTGATCTTCATTTTTTCTTGGGGGTTCAGGCAGTGCGAAAATCCTCTGGTTTATTTTTATCTCAAGCCAAATATGTGTCAGACCTTCTCAACAGATTTCATCTTCATACCCTTAAGTCAGTTCGCACACCACTTCCAAACAGAACTAAGTTGTCTCTCACTGATGATGAGTTAATGGCTGATCCTACAGAGTACCGTATCATGGTAGGTGCATTGCAGTATTTGACTATGACTAGACCTGATATTACATATGTTGTTCACTTGGTATCCCAATTTATGCATGCTCCTCGTACTTCACATATGTTAGCTGTGAAAAGATTTTTCAGGTATCTGCAGGGCACTGTCACGCATGGTCTGCATCTACAGCCTTCCCCACATCCTCATTTTGTTCTTGCGTACTCTGATGTTGATTGGGCTGGTTGTCCTGATAGTTGACGCTCCACTTCTGGCTTCACTATTTTTCTGGGTCCGAATCTGATCTCTTGGCGCTCTAAGAAACAACCCACTGTCTCTAGATCGTCCATTGAGGCTGAGTATGGAGCCATTGCATACACTGTCCAGGATACTCTACACATTCGGTCTTACGGTCTATACTGTTTGACCTTGGCTTTCCTATTCATCGTCCAGTTCGGCTCCTCTATGACAATATTTCGGCATCATACTTATATGCTAATCCCATTCAGCATGCTCGCAGTAAGCACATTGACATTGATTATCATTTTGTTCGTGAGCGCGTGGCTCATGGTGATCTTCTGGTCCAATATGTTCCTACGAAGTTTCAGTTAGCTGATATTTTCACAAAGAGTTTGGCTCCTCAGCAATTTTTATTCTTACGTGACAATCTACGCGTAGTTCCTCCTGCGTTTGAAGGGGTGTAATAATGTAGATTAATTAGCATTAATTATTAGGCAGTATCCTAATTGTATTTGGAGACTCATTTATTATAAATATATAATCAGGGCTACCAGTTTGATTAAGCCTGCTATTATTTCTCACAACCGATCAACGGCGGAGCCACTATATTTTAAGAGTGTTCAATTGAACACCTAAAATTTGAAAATTCATATTAATATACATGAATAAATTTAATTTAGTTATTTATTGTTCTTTCCAATTTTATAAGTGTTAGAATAATATTGCCATATCATTCTTGCCATCACTTGATCACTTCCTATCATCTACACCTCATTGCTATATCATTTGGATTTTTTTTACTCTACAATCACCAAATCTCATTTAAATAATCAGAACAAATGAGAACATAATTGTTAAAAGCACTCATTCAACAATGTAAATTATTACCGCCTTACGAATAAGTCTTAAAGTAATAGAGTTGGTTATGTGTTTAGCTCTTTAGAAAATGACGTACATCGGTACGTACTACGTACAGAGGAGCAGCGATGAGTTAACTCTACGAGTACGTTTGGTTCGTGGTAATCATATAAGCATGCCGGAATCTAATGTCCGGAATGTGAGATGTCACGCTTGATTCCCGAGTTTGAATATTTTTTAGGGAATGTTACATTCCCAAATAGAAAATAATGGAGTGACATGCCTAGAAATGTTAAACCCATATACCTCTTAGCTTATTTTACATTCTCCCCTCCTTGATTATAAATTTGTTCAAAACTACTCATGCTAATTTAATTTAATTAGCATTCTATAATAACTCTTCAATCCTATTTAGGTCTCCTATCCAATCAATCATGTCCAAAAATTTCCTCTTCATTTTGCAAGAGTCTCCTAAATCAAGTAATTGCTCCCTCTAAATTTAATCTTTAATCCTCTTTAATCTTCTTTTGATTATTCTTTAATTTTCTTTTTAATCCATTTTAATTTTCTCTCCATTTTTTCAACACATTGTGCCGTTGTTTGGATTTTTCTTTAACCTTCTAATTTTTCTTTGAATCATAAGCAGATTTAAACATGCTTTTCTTATTATTGTGCCCAGGGGCGGACCCAGGAAAATCATCTTGGGGGGGGGGGGGGGGGGGCGAAAATATTTTTTGGGGGGTTCAAAATATTTTTTCGGAGGGAGAAAATTATTTTTCACACACACACACACACACACACACACACACACACACATATATATATATATATATATATATATATATATATATATATATATAACACTAAAAAAAATTCTTGTTGGGGGCGGTAACCCCCCTAGGTCTGTACTACGGTCCGCCCCTGATTGTGCCTATTTTTTTTTTTAAGAATTTAGTTCACTCTATTGCTAATTTGAAAAGAGAGTAGCAAAATTAAGTAGATCAACATTGACTTGTTTTTATTATACAATTGTTTTGGTAATGATATATTCAAATTTATTTATTAATGTATGTCATTATGTATTTATTTTAACAAAAATTATTTTTTAATGCTCACTTATCTTTCTCTTTGGGTGCACATCCACAATGTATATGTCATTTGTACAATTAATCATAATTCATTTAGTTTTGATTATTTTTATTGTTAAGGTATTTCATTTTATTCTTTAATTTAAGTTAGTTCAAATGCAAGTTGTAATAAGTTTATTGTCCTAAGAGAAAATCACTAAATTTGTAGTATAAGATGTCATTCAACCAAACAAATTAATGTGATATTCCTTTAGTCTTAACCAAACACAAATGGGATACAATTGAATACATTCACATCAATCTAACATACCCATCAATCTGACATTCTCCAAGTAATCTGACATTCTGTGAACCAAACGGGGCCTAACACCCTTCATCTCTTCTTTTCTTCTCATCTTTCAATCATTGTTTATTTCAATAATAAAAAAAGTTTCGCTTAAACAATATTTTCATTTCGTTTATTTCCCAGTGTTGTCTAGATGTTTTTTTTGGTGGCATAGTGTCGCTTGTCATATGTATGTTTTCTGTCATCATTAGTTGTGTGCTAGTAAGAGGTTTGTAATGGCTTCTTCATCAATAATGAACATAGATTTCTTCTTCATCAATATTGAGGCCGATCTTCCCCCCTCTTGAACCACCGTCGTTCCAGGTCCAGGGTGATGGGATTGCATGGATCACTTTCTTTCCGGTGGTTGGTGAAGCCGGAACAATTTATGCACCTCGCTCCTTATCGATAGCTAGCAAAACTGTGATATTTCATAGTTCATTTTCGGTGACTGGTCAAATCAGACTCTTTTCAAGTAACATGAGCAGTCACAGTCTGGTACCAGCCTATGTTATATGGTTGCAAGGTTAGAGAACATGAGCGATTTTATAGGTCTTTTGTGTTATATGATTGTAATGTTTTGACTTTTGATTGTTATATTTTTTGTTACACTTAACAATAATAGTTAAGTTATTCTCTTAATAAGACTAATAACTCATATTTGCGGAATAAAACATACTGATAGAGTTTAATCCAACTACGAGAGCTAATCTACGAGAGCAGATGAAATTTAGGCAGCGTAAGACAGTATTAGTATTTCGGAATCCGGATCCTTAGTAGGATATGTATAGGAAGTATTTACAGACCTTAAGTTCTAGTGTTGTAGGAGGAAACCAATACATTTAATGTAATTAATTAAAATAGAGTCATGTAACGTCTCGAACGTTGTGCAATGATTGTTTTCCTCATGTCCACATTCCTTCCATTATGTCCTGCTGCTGCCATATAGCTATGAACGAATGATAGTCCGTCACATAAGCCCTAGGAAGAGTCCGACCTCACTAAAACTCCGCTCAGGCTTAAGGTCTCCTGTCCAGCGCGGTTTGGTTGTGGGTTTCTTTCGCGGGTTGGATTCCTAGCTAGGCCCAACGGCTAATGTTTATTATTATTAATCCCGATTGATGGGCTGATCCCGTGGATGGGCTGATCCCGTTGATGGGCTTTATTTTAATTCTATCTTGGACTATGGTTGTAATCCATGGTACCATCACATACTTAGTTCTATTTTTGTAATTTTGTCTATATTTTGATCCTATATTGAGCAATTTTTATCCTTTTTATTGGCTGTATGTATGCATAAATTTTTACTAATGTTATCAAATTGACTTTTTTTTATTAATTTTCATTCATTCTTTGGTCAAGTCTTTTTATTCCAGAATGCGCGCTTGCTTGATTACAATCATTGAAAATTTAAAATTCCATGTCTAGTTTATAATTTTCTCACTCCCACCCTTAGATGAATTTGATGAGAAGTTTGTAACTTTCTAGCTAACACCTATCAAATTGCCATCGTCTTATTCTCTATTTTTAGTATCACTTTTCTATCACATTATGATTTAATTTTAGTGCTTCAAAAAAACTTTTAATGGAAATTCTAAATATTGATTCTTTTATAGTACTACTGAATCAAATGTTGTGATTTGAAACTAGTAAGTGTTGAGTTTTTATAGAAATGGAAGTCCTTGGTTAATAATTTAATATCACTAGTAGTATTACATACCTGGCACCCCACAAATTTTCTTTATCTATTATGCTACAATAATAATGAAGTGAATCTCATTACATAGCCAATTGTGAGATGAAATTTTTAATGTTCACATATGAACTTCCTCCTTCCATTAAAGCCTCCCCTGCTAACCCCTTCCACTTGACTGCATTTCTTTTAATTTCATCGGCTCTCACCCCCTCCATTACCTCGAGAATACGATCATTGACTTCTTGTCGCGTAACAATGCCACGCTCGTTGACCCTAACTCGGATCCCGACTCGCCAAACATCGTCAATGAATTTGGCATTGGTGGGTTGGTCAACCATTTGGGGCATAGCAACGACCGGCACGCCCAAACTCAGTGCCTCGAGCGTGGAGTTCCACCCACAATGCGTTAGGAAGCACGCGACCGCTTTGTGGGACAAGACCTTCACTTGGGGGCACCATTTTAGTATGAGCCCTCTTTGTGCCGTGTTTGGCTTGAAGTTTTTGGGAATTTTGGATTGTTCGGAGTCTCGAACGGCCCAGATGAAGTATTTGTTGGATTGGGCCAAACCCATTGCGATTTCTTGCATCTGTTGCTCTGACCAGACCACTACGGTCCCGAAGGATGCGTAGACCACAGAGCTGGGCTCTCTGGCGTCGAGCCATTTCATGCAGTCTTGGTCGTGGTCTGACTTGTACAGGTCAATCTTGTTGTCTGGTCTTGGAACCAACGGTCCTATTGTCTTGATTGCCCATTTTTCTGATAACCACTTCACTGCCTAACACATGCAAGTGGACATAATATTTTTTAGATTATTACAAGTTGACCAAAATATAACAAATTCACTTTTAAATGAATAAATTTTAGGCAAATTTTACCGTGCTCATGGACCACTCTAGGGGCAATTTATGCCTTGCCCCATCCCAAATTCAAAAAGTAGTTAAATTTTTAAAGTAACAAATTTCGTGTATTTTTTACCAATTTGGCTGATTGTGTCCTATTTTATCTCTTTTGTTTTTAATTAAAATAATACTTATATAAGGCTTATTTATTAAATAATTTCTATCAAGTAATTTAGTAATACTCATTTAGAACTATTACGGTTACGAGTGATTTCTACAAGTAATTTAGAGAATTAACAAACCCTTTAATGTCTTCAGATCGTTTTAGAGAATTAACAAACTCATTCATAAAGTTTCCCGGTTCAATTTTGCTGAAATTTTCTGGTCTACTATAATTTAAATTGATCTGACCTAGTTTAAATAAATCTAGTTTGTTTCAACCGCATAATTTGGTCTTATAATGTCTCATACTCTCATCTGATCTACTTTCAGATTGTGTGACTCGATCTTTAATAGTGATATATTTTTAAATAAAAATTACTACTATAATATGTTGTTCATGGTTAGCGAAATACAAATAATGAATTCTTACTTGTATTTGGCATGTGTAGTGGGATTAATTCATTCTTTTGTCAGAGATGAACTTTCATATATCCAACCAAACCAAAATATATTCAACTAATTAAACTAGATTTACACAAATCAAATGACTAAATTTCTAAGTGATGCTACAGAACTAGTATTGAGCAAAAGAAAAAATCCGAGACTACAAAATATAGATCTCTTTTTAAATTCAAATGTTTTTTTCATTTATTCTAACGTAATTAAATATTCTCACTTTAAAAACATTAAATTTTGAATTTTAAAATGAAACATGTTGATTACGAATGTTCGTGGTATATAAAGTTCTTTTTGAAAGAGTGTGTACTATACAAAGTTAGAGATCCTCGTTTAATTCTTGGGCTTATGAGCCCGTGGGCCGGGAGACTGCTCATCCAATTCTCGGGCTTATGAGCCCGTGGGAGTAGTTATTATTCCGTACTAGTTACTATCTCTGTTCCTATTATAACTTCCAAATATGTTTGACACACAATTTAAGATAGTGAATATTGTGTGTTGGAGAATTGTGTAGAGGAGAGAAATGTGTAAGAAATGTTGTGAACCACAATTTTTTTACCAAAAAGGGAAAGTGGAGGTTTTAATTGAAATGGACAAAAAAGGAAAGTTGAAAGTTATAATAGGAACGTGAATAATTCTTGACTGACTTGTTCCATACACGAAGTATAGTTTGTGAGACAAGAGCTTGATTCATTCGTAGTTCAATTAAAGCATTACTTTTCTTGAAAGAATAAACACTCGTAAACTGTAAAATGCAAGCTAGAAAACAACAGCATTGCCACATTGGATTAAGAATGGAAAATACCTTACCTACTAGACTATAAACCCAAAATCAACTCACATTACTCAAATAAAAAGAGAACGAATGAATATTGTATACTACCTCCAGTTCGGGTAATGGTCCAATTGAGTTTACGATATTTGACATGTCATAAATTTAAGTGATCCTTGTGAATAATAAAATTATTTTAGTAAATACAATTTACATATTCAAAATTATATTAAAAGTCTTGTAAAGTCGCAAAAAACTCAAATTTGATAAAAATTGGATATATAAAGAAAAAGGTTAAGAAAAAATTACATTAATTTTCATCTAATTTTTTACTCATTAATTAAATATGTTTTAAATACAGGGTATAATTTTTCTATAATTTAGAAGAATTAGAAAATTTAATCACTTCAATAAGAATTTCATAATTTCAGCAGTTTTAACCAATTATGTCAATTGCAATGTTACTTAACGGGGTCTTGTGAATAAGTTCTACTTCACTTGACTTCAATGGATGCCACTTATGAGAGAATGAGCTTTAATGTTATGACTTGAAGAATGCTTCAATGTGGGAACAGGCGGGAATAATTGGAGAAATTTAATTGTCCACTCAATTCCTTTATATTATATAAAGATATTATTACATCAAGATCAGATTGTATAATTAATGGTGATATGGAAGAAAATGAAGTTCTTAATCATTGTTAGGGGATAGACTTATCATAAATCTTGAGAAGGTTAGATTAGAAGAATACCTATGGTATTTGTGCATCTCAATTTCAAAATTGTACTTGCAAAACATTATAAGCTATAAATAAATTGGAATTTTCTTTTACTGTTATATTTGTCTTGAGGAATGAATTTTTTTCCACACCCACTTAATTGACTACATTATATTTCTTGATGCATAAAAAATTTGTATTTTTTTCTTGCAAGTCCAACTAAGCCTAACTCTATTAGAGACATACGGGTCAGTCCTTTCGGACCCTTAAGCCAATCTACATAATATTGGATCCAGTCCATATTCATTAGTTTTGTACTATCTTTGTTCTCTTTTAATTACAAGATTGGATTTTTGCAATATTCACATATTCTACTTTGACTATATTTATTTATATATAATAAATTAAATTTTAAAAAAGATTGTTACATTTCTCTCCTCTTAGATTTTTAAAATTTGAATTTTTTAATTTTTGGGAGAACTACCAAATAAGACCTTGAACTTACATCTTAATTTTTGGGAGAACTCTTAAAAAATTTCATCAAAAAATTCAACCGTAAAGCGCCTCAAATGGTGACGACCGGACAAAGCCTCCTATAGTTCTACCTTAATTTTTTTACTAATAAAGAAGGAAAGATAATCATGATCGAATTACTCCTTAATAAAAAGAAAGGAATTATAAAGTGATGTCTGGTTAGCATAAAAAAGGTAAAGCGTGTAAAGTACACACACTTCATACCTCCTTTTCCAAGGCGTCAAATGTATTGAACAACAGACAATCAGCATTCCCCATGTTTCTTGCCTGCTTCAACGTAAACTCTTCCACTTCTCCCGCAATCTCGCCGAACAAGGAAAACGACGGCAATTCCATCGGCACCGGCAAGGCAGGCAGAGACACCACCGCACCAGCAGAATCAGAATCCCCCCGTTCTCCCACGCGCCGCCCCTGAAGCATGTGGTAATAGATGCTGCAAACCGAAGCAGACTGTGTGAACAGAGCAGCCGCGCGCAACCCACGCGCTCTCCCGATCTCCGCTAGCCACGGCATCATCGAATCGAACACTAGAAGTTTGGCCCTCTTTCTCTTCTTGATGACGGCGGCGACCCCCTCCGAGACGGCGGCCTGCACGTGCTCACGGTATTCCTCGAAGGTAGGCGGTGCCGCCGGTACGCCTCCGCCGTCGTTTCCGTCGGAGATTAACTCTAGCGTGTGTATAATTTGGGCGAGGGAGGATCGGTGAATGGATTTTGCGACGTCGTGGGTGAGGACTAAGGTGACATTGGGGCAGGCGCCGGCGTCCATTAATAAACGGCAGAATTGAAGCATAGGGCTTGTGTGACCTTGATATGGAAATGGGACGGCTATGATTTCGGCCTGCTTCTCCATATCCATTAACGTAACTGTAAATATCTCGATTTGAGCTTGTAATTAAGTAATCACTGTTAATAAATTTATAAGGCCATCCGTTCTGAAATGAGGGTGGAAAGACACACGCTTATAGAAAGTGGATTGTACTCCTTTATAAGGCCATCCATAATTAATTTTATATACAATCGCTTTACCCTTAATTAATTATGAAGGGAGGAAAGACACACGCTTAATTATGAAGGGAGGAAATAAGACCCAATTAAGAGCATCTTTAATGGGCAAGTGGATTGTACTCCTTTATAAGGCCATCCATAGTGATGTCTGGTTGCCATCCGTTCTAAAATGAGGGTGGAAAGACACACATTTAATTATGAAGGGAGGAAATAAGACCCCATTAAGAGCATCTTAATGGGCAAGTGGATTGTACTCCTTTAAAAATGGACATGTCATTCATATAGAAAGCCCATCAAGCCTATATGGACGTACGGACTTTAAAATTAATTTTTAGACTTCAATGGTATAGTGAATTTGAAGAATCCGTTGCCTATTCATACTGCCACACCATATAACTAAAAAACAGCCGCACTTAAAATTAGATCGCATAATTTTATTCTACCCTTCTTTTCCTATGCGTTGCCTATCGTAGAAGAAAACGACGATGAGCAACATGCTCTAATTCTTCTTCTAGCTTTCTTTTCCAAAGACGAAATAACAGATCACATAGTTTTATTCTACCTAAAAACAACCACATGTTAGTTCTTTAGTCTCACCTTTGCAGATTTTACATGTTATATGTATATATATTGCGTTTGTTGGATTTTGAATTTAATGTTTTATATACAATCACAAGTGGATTGTTGATTATGTTCAGGGGGTGTGATATAAAACCGTTAGTTCTGATGCGATGATCATTCCTCCCCTTGTTACCGACATCAGCATCAACAAAAAGATATAGCCATGCCCTTGTTAGTGCTACATCTTCATCTTTGCTCCAGTTTTTGCTGCCTCCTACTGTCTGAGAGATACTCGTGTTTTCTATGACCTTGTCACTTTTTTCTGGTGCTCGGCTCATTTTAGCAGCATGACTCTCCAATGGAATATTAGAAGAGTTTAAAAGATCTTGAAAAGGAAATCCATACCCAAAGGGTGAGTGAGCATGAGGAAATGAAGGATGCATCATAAAATTAGGATTAAAAGTCATGTTTGATGGACTGAATGGGATAGATGTGAACATTGGTGACTGTGCGTTAATCTGTGAAGCGCTGCCATGTTGAGAAGTGAGATTAGTTACTTCACTTTCTTTCTGAATATGTTCATGGTAAGCAAATGGTTGCGATGTTGACTCCATCTATGTAGAAATCAATATTTCAATAAGCATTTGAGGTTTGATTCTAATTCAGAGCTAGTATGTATTCTTGTAGCCTTAATACACTCACAACAATAACACCTATGCCTTAATCCCAAAGATTTAAATACACTCACTCATACAAGAAAAAGAGAAATGTTTCTTACATTCAATATTTAAATTTACAAAGAAACCGTTGAAAGATATATGCCAATAACTCCACATCATTTTTGTATTTGTCTATTATTTCTCTCTACCTTACTAAGCTACACTTATCATATATTTTTTAGGGAAAAAAACTTTGGTCTAGTCAATTATTTTATTTGTGAAGTTACTCTTAACAAATAAAATAGTTTGACCATCTTTGGTCAGTACCCTACTTTTACATATTTTTCTGTATTTGTTAACTTACTCTTAACAAAAAAATCTTTTGAAGCTTGTTGTGTCTGGGTCTTCATAATTATTCTCAAAATCTCAAATACTTTTTTGTTTCATTATCTCATAGAGAAAAAAGATCATGTGTTCATATTATATGCAATGACAAAAAATAGTTGTGCATTTGGTGTTAAATTGCCATGATTACACATAGTTTCAAGATATAATTAATCAATAAATTAGCACAAAAGAGAAGAGCCGATTTCATTCTTACCGTGAATGAATTTCTATTGAAACCTGGTATTAACTCAAAAAAAATTGAATCAAAGAGGAAGTTTAAAAAAATACCTGGAAGACTTCCCAAGAGCACCGACGAAGAGCACCAGAGCCGCACGGGAGAGTAAAAACGGTGAAGAAGTGAGAAGTCTTGGAAAACTGCTTTGACGAGCCCCTTTGTAGGCTTCAATTGTGAGATTTGGGGGAAAGTTTTTCATTTACTGCCAACAAGATGCCCGGGAGACAGAATTTTTTTGCTGAGTCAGAGAGTGGGAAGGGCTCGTCGAAATGGTATTAACTCAACAGCACATGATATATACACCTTTCCATTGGAGCAAGTATTTTAACCTCATAGTCTATTTAATTGACGTGACCATTCATTTTTTAGCAATCCAATTTACCACCACGGGTGCTCTAAGAGCATCTTTAGTGGGAATATGGATTGCAATCCATAAAAAATTGACACATAATCTGAATAAATGGCCTTTGAAGCTGATATGGACGGACAACCATTTACAATCAGGTTGCATCTCCAATGGTATGCTGAAGAACTGCGCATTACTGAGTATTATAATTTATAAATGTGTCCGACAGAGAAGTAATGTACTCCGTAGAATAAAGATTTGCTGACTTGGATGTTTGATAGCCTTGCTGAAAGTAGAAAGTCGGGTAGACAACCGCTCCACTTTTTAATTCCAACTCAACAATGCAAGACGAATGCACATTTCCGTTGGACTAAGTAAGTTTATCTTAGGGTCTTTATACCTGACGTGGCAATTCATTTTCTAAGGATCCACACCCCCACTACGGATGCTCTTAGGATGGCAGTGGGGACAGGGCCGTGGGGGAATCACGGGGAGATGATGGGTGGGTTTGGAGCGGGGTGGGGACAGAGATAGGTGAGATATTTCAAATATGGGGTTGGGAGGGGAATTGCTACATCCGTCCCGTCCCCTTTATAAATATAAACTCAAACATACATATATAATGTATAAATATATTTAAGTAAATTATGGAGTATATAACAAACACATACATATACATATAGACATATACAAATGTATATGTGTATTAGTCATGATTAATTAATCAATACATATTACTCCTTCCGTCCCATAAAATAGTTCTCGCATTGACTTGGATCGGAGTTTAAGAAAGTGGGAATAAAGTGGAAATGTATGGTTGTAGTTGTGTAAGAAAAAGGTAAATGAATGTGAGACACACAAAACTTTCCAAAAGAGGAAATGAGAACTATTTTTTGGGACGGACCAAAAAGGAAACCTGTGACACCCCCAAATTTTTCACCCAAAATAATACTTTGAAATAGAGATGAACTTTTATTTAATGATTAAAACTTCAAAAGTTGCAGCGGAAATTAATAAAAACTAAGTAAAAGGGGCATGTCACCGCCACATCCAATCCGTGAATGATTGGATGCTAAGGCTATCTACCAACACACGAGTTTAACAAAATCAAGATGTTCGAATCATAAGAAAATATTAAAGTTTATTTCTAGTGAACTACATAGTTGTCTTCTAATTCGCGCTCTCAAACATTTCAACATCAAACTCAACATGGTCACCTCCTGTTAAATACGAGCACAAGAAAAATAAAAGAAAACAAACATTAGCAATAATGCTAAGTAAGTTCCACCTAACCTTTTAAAATAATAATAAATACTATATATAAATTCGTACAACCTCATAAAAATATTTTTCAAAACACTTTATAAATCATAAATCATAAGTAAACGATATCTATATAAAATCCCAATCACATAATTAACTCGTAAAATATAATAACTCCAAAATACATGAAACACCAAAATTCTCCTCTTTTGAATTTCTCCCAAAATCACTTTGTACCTAACCTTCTAGTAATTTAGAAGGGCGGTGCTCAACACCTTGGTTGAGCCCGGTGGTCCGTCGTTATGTACGGCCACCCCGGAACTATCGCCGGTACCACAACTGCTCTTTGGAAACGGAAACAACTACTTTAAGTGTGCACACCCCCTAAAGGTATTCCAAGCCCTCCGGGTTAATAAGTCGATCCGGGTAGCCGAGATGTTTTCTACCAACTACCCCACCTCAAAACCTGAATGATTAGGAGCTACTACTACCATTACTACTCAAAAGCCGGGATGTTTTCTACCGACCGTCAATTCACCTCAAACCAAAACCACAAAAATTGAGTATTAGTAGACCTAACCATCCTCCACATTTTAAGGGACGTGGAAAACCAACACCACAGATTTCTCCCGTGATGCTCACCTTTTATAAAAATATTTATTTTTCTCTAAATCAATCGAAGTTTATACTTCAAAAATTCCCTTTTTATCAAACTCCCACAAAGATAACAAATTACGTACTATTACAAAATATCCCAAAATCGTATACAATAATTTATCTCAACAAAACAGTACATCAACTAATATCTCAAATACAACCCTTTCATATAATAATATTCACTCAAATTCAGCACACATAAATTCAATTCTCAAATATGCACACAAAAATATGTAAAAGAAATCACGAAGAAAAAGAACTAATATCGGTTGACGTGAAACTTACCTTAAATCCAAATGCTCCTATTTCTCTTCTTCAATTCCAGTCTCTAAATGAGCACCTTTTTAATTTAGATGATATAATTAGTCACTTATTCTATTTATAAATTATTTTATTCAATTTTCCCCTTTTATTTCCTTATTCGAATTTATTAACTTAATTTATTAGTTATTCGAATTTATTTGATTAATCACTTTTTATTAATCAAATTACCTTATTAATTCAGCCATTAATTACAATATTTGAATTCTAATATTAAATACAATATCCGAATATAATTAACTACAACATCCTATTTTTTATTCAATAACCACCATTAATTTACTCTACTCAAAAAAATATTATTTAATTACTTTATTTATATTAACCCATTAATTTATGAGTTCAAATATTTTAAATATTTATATGAGGTCCGAATCTCTAATAATCAATCATAAAAATTATTAATTGAATTAGTCCACTAATTACGTAATTAAGTTATTTATTAAATCTACATATAGTCAATTATTTATGCTAGCTAACCCAACCTTATTTTATTTTCCTTATTTTATTCCAACATTATTTTTAGTCCAGAATATTATTTTTCAATCTCAATGATTTATTTATTTCACCATTAATATAAATATTTCCTTATTTAATTACTTAACTAGTTTTATATGGCCT